GCTGTGTTGTGGGTGAGGGATGTGATCACTGGCTCTGTGTTCCAGGGCAACCGCAGGTGTAACTGGCGGTGTCTGGTGGTGGGGAGTGCAATGGAGTGACTGTGTCAGGGTGTCCCGGGATGTGGGTGTGTGTGTCTTAGGGTGCTGTTGTTTCTGGGGCAAGGAGGGGTGCCTGGCTAGGTCTCGGGGTGTTCAGGGGTGTTAGGGTATGTCTCAGGGTATTGCTGTTTCCTGGGTGGGGGTGCTGGCTAGGTCTCGAGGTGTCTAGGGATGCAGGTATGTATGTCTCAGGGCGTTGCTGTTTTGGGGTGAGGGTGGGGGTGGCCAGCTAGGTCTCTGGTGTCCAGGGGCAGGGGGTGTCACTTCTTGTGCCTTAGGTGTACGGAGTGTGCCGGTGGGGCCTATCTGGGATTGTTGGGGGGTCATTACAAGTCATACAGAGTGTGACCAGGGGCAGTTTTGGCAGTGTGTGTGTGTGTGTGTGTGTGTGTGTGTGTGCGCGCGCGCGCACGTGTATCTGTCTCTCGATGCCAAGTGAGACCCTATTTCCCAGCACTAAAGAGGGTGATGTGGGTGGTCATCTCAGAGGGCTGCATTTTGGGGTGTTGAGGGGAGGGGCTGGAATTGAGGTAGTAACTCTGGGTGTGTCCCGGCGCTGGGGGTAAGACCCTGAGTTCAGGGATGTGGTGGCAGCAACCTGGCTGTGCTGAGATGGGGACAGGATGAAACTGAGTGGTAAGTGACAGGATTGTCTTAGGGTGTGAGACTGTGCCAGCGTGACCCTACTTCTCAGGGCAGGAGGCGAGTCTTTGTGGCTTAGGACGTGTGTCCCAGGTGTCACTCAGCCCATCTTAAAGCAGGAGCCAGACACTGGGGAGAGTCCCAGGTTGCCACGCCTCCTGGTTCCCCTGCCCCCTTTCAGCCGCCTCCTCTCGCCTCCCAGGATATGACTCGCTGTGGCCCTAGCCGGGGCTTAAGCCCCTATATAAATAGTAGGCGGATCCCCTGGCCAGGCTGGGCCTGACCCAAGCCAGTCTGCCCAAGGCCCTGCCCACCAGCACCCACCCCAATGTCCATGAAGGCTTTAGCAGGGCAGGGGGGCATTGCTGCCCCCAAATAATTGGAGTTAGCCCCCCTAGTCCCAAAGCTCTAGGGAGGGGGGCAGTGGCACCCCCTGCAGCTGCCCCAGCCTGCCCCAGACGACACTCACATTTTCCAGTGTTTAGATTTTATCCACTTTATTAATGAGGCAAGAGGCCCGAGCCTCGGGGGAAGGGGGCTACTCCCGCCCTGCTGGGAGGAGGGGGTCACAGGGGGCCAGAACGACTCCAGGGAGCCTCCCTCCTCATGGAGGGAGCCGCTGGGGCCCAGAGTGGCCCCCATCCATTGCCAGGAGCAGAGAGGGGGGTCCCTGCCACTCCAGGCCCCAAGCGGGCGTGCGCGGGGTGGAGCGGCCCCTGGAGGCCAGCAAGGGCGGCGGGAGGAGCCGAGGAGCCGCCCCAGGAAGAGGGAGGGAGGAAGCGGCCTGCCGGAGAGCCAGGGCGCAGTGGGCAGCAGGGCTGAGCGGCCGGTGATGGGGACCCCGCATCCCAGGCAGTGCTGGGTAAGCGGGTTGCACGTGAGGGTCCCTGGCTGGGGAGGAGGAGGGCATGAAGGGTTGGGGCCATGGCAACCTGTCTGTCCATCCTGTGTCCCTGGGCTCTTCCCCCCGATCTGTGTGTCCCTGTCTTATCGTCTGTCCATCCTCCCTTCCCATCTGGCCTGGTGGACGGTTCCGCCCTTTCCACCCTCACCACCAGGATATCAAAGAGTGGATGGTCATGGCCTCTGGGGGCAGGGACATGGAGTGGAACCGTGGGCAGCGAGGGTGAGGCAGAGGTGATCGCGGTGGGGCGTGGCGAGAGACCGCAGTGGATCAGAGGCAGGTCCATGGGGCAGGGGTAGAGATGCGTCCATGGCACAGATGTAGCTGTGCCATGTGGGGTCGGAGATGGGTCCAGGGGGGACAGGGACATGGCCGTGGGGAGAGATGTGCCCATGGTGGTAGAGATGGGGCTGGGGAATCTCGAGGATGGGACAGGAGTAAAGCTGACATGGGGAAAGTCAGGTAGGACCACAGGGGCAGAAATGGGTGAGAGCTATCAGATGGAGCCACAGGCCCCAGGAATTTGCTACGGTGTAAAAATGGAAGGTGGGGGTCAGAGGGGGATCTGTGAGGCCCAGAGGCACTGGCAGAGATGCCTGAGGGCAGGGCTCGGGGGAATCTTGCAGGAAACCATGAAGGACAGAGAAGGGGCCAGTGGGGACAGAGGGAGGCCCTGGAGCAGGAGATGGGGCGGTGAGAGGCAAAAGAGAGGGAGGAGGGTTTCCAAATGGAGTGGCCAGGTCATTTGGAGTTGCCATGGGCAGAGGGGCTGCCTGAGAACGCCATGGAGTCAAACGGGCCTGATGTTCTGAGATGGCACCGTGGGCTGGTCCCCGCCCGGGCCCAGCCAGCCTCACTCTGCCCTCTTCTCCTCTACCCAGCACTCCCGGCGCCTGACATGAGCCCTTGCGGGCCCCTCAACCTGAGCCTGGCGGGCGAGGCGACCACATGCGCGGCGCCCTGGGTCCCCAACGCGTCGGCCGTGCCGCCGTCGGGCGCTTCGCCTGCGCTGCCCATCTTCTCCATGACGCTGGGCGCCGTGTCCAACCTGCTGGCGCTGGCGCTGCTGGCGCAGGCCGCGGGCCGCCTGCGACGCCGCCGCTCGGCCGCCACCTTCCTGCTGTTCGTGGCCAGCCTGCTGGCCACCGACCTGGCAGGCCACGTGATCCCGGGCGCGCTAGTGCTGCGCCTGTACACTGCGGGGCGCGCTCCGGCCGGCGGGGCCTGCCACTTCCTGGGCGGCTGCATGGTCTTCTTCGGCCTGTGCCCGCTGCTGCTGGGCTGCGGCATGGCGGTGGAGCGCTGCGTGGGCGTCACGCGGCCGCTGCTCCACGCCGCTCGGGTCTCGGTCTCCCGCGCGCGCCTGGCGCTGGCCGCGGTAGCTGCGGTGGCCTTAGCCGTCGCGCTGCTACCGCTGGCGCGCGTGGGCCGCTACGAGCTGCAGTACCCGGGCACGTGGTGCTTCATCGGCCTGGGTCCCTCGGGCGGCTGGCGCCAGGCACTGCTCGCTGGCCTCTTCGCCGGCCTCGGCCTGGTCGCTCTCCTCGCCGCGCTGGTGTGCAACACGCTCAGCGGCCTGGCCCTGCTACGCGCCCGCTGGCGACGCCGCTCCCGAGGGCCTCCCCCGGCCTCGGGCCCCGACAGCCGGCGTCGCTGGGGGGCGCGCGGACCCCGCTCGGCCTCCGCCTCGTCCGCCTCATCCATCGCTTCAGCCTCCACAGCCTTTGGCGGCTCCCAGAGCCGCGGCTCGGCACGCAGAGCTCGCACCCACGACGTGGAGATGGTGGGCCAGCTTGTCGGTATCATGGTGGTGTCGTGCATCTGCTGGAGCCCAATGCTGGTGAGGGGCGCACCGGCCCCTCGAGCCACGCTCCTTCCCGCTCCCTCTCAACACCCTCCGCCCTTTGTCGTCCCAGGACACCTTGGGCCTCTGTCCTGGACCCAACCAAGGCCCCGGCCCCTGGAGGCCCCATCCCATCTGCCCCAAAAGCCAGCATGGCCTTCTCCATCTGACCTGCCATCCTTCCTCCTAGCCCCCCTCTCTTCTTCCTTTTTGGGGTCTTTGTAGCGCACCCCGACCCACACAAGCCTCCTCTCCTGCCCAACCATTATAAGCCCCCGCGCTTCATTCCCTAGTCCTTTCACCCAACCCCCTCGTTTTTCCTCTTTCCGGGACACCTGAGACTCCTCTCCGGCCGGAGCCCCCACCCACTGAAGGTGTTTGTTTCTTTGCCTCCCTCCTTTTTTTCCGCATCCCCTTCCCACCTGGATCCCCATTTACCCTGCCTGCGACGGCTCGCCCCTCCTCCTAGGCTTTTACCTTCCAGCCACGCCCCCACCATCCCTGCGCACCCCCTGCGCCTGCGCCCGCCAAACGGCTCACACCGGCTTCCCCCGCAGGTGCTGGTGGCGCTGGCCGTCGGGGGCTGGAGTTCTACCTCCCTGCAGCGGCCACTGTTTCTGGCCGTGCGCCTTGCCTCCTGGAACCAGATCCTGGACCCTTGGGTGTACATCCTGCTGCGCCAGGCCGTGCTGCGCCAACTGCTTCGCTTCCTGCCCCCGAGGGCCGGGGCCAAGGGCGGCCCCGCGGGGCTGGGCCTAACCCCGAGCGCCTGGGAGGCCAGCTCGCTGCGCAGCTCCCGGCACAGCGGCCTCAGCTACTTCTAAGCACAACCGGAGGCCCAACGACGAAGCCAGCCCACCCTGGGGCCGGGCCCAGGTGCGCGGCGAAGAGCCTTTGAGGAATAAAAAGCCATTCTACGAGCCCAGACAGAGCGGTGAGTCCCGTCGGGGCTTCGGCATCCACTGGGGCCGCGCAAGGGGCAAGCAGAGGCGCCAAGTGCGCTTCCAGGGTGGGTGCAGTTCCGGGGCCTACCACAAGATGGCGCGGAGACACCGGGGCGCGGTTCTAGGAGGCTCGAGGGTGCCTGACCGTGGGCGCCGGAGCCGCAGGAGCAAGCGCACCGTGCGGGCGGCGGGGGCTGGGGCTCCGCTGGGAGCAGAGCGAGAGGGTGTGGGGGGCGTTTCCTGACCTTGCCACCGCCCTAACGGACTTCCGAAACCATTCTGCTCACTGTGGCTTTGAGTTCTTCCAATACAGCCCCAAAACCCTGTCCCCAAACCATTTTGCCCCATGTCCCTGGGCGCCCCCAACACAATACCGACCCCCTCCCATCTCAGCTTACCCACGCTCCCCCCCATAAGAACAGCTCCGAGTCCACGCCGCCCCTTGATCCTCTTCAAATGACACCCCCATCACTGGAGACTCCCACGACCAACCAGCCACCTGCCCCCCAGTCCACACCTCCAAGCACACCCCCACCGCCAATGACTGCACACAAGAAGACACGCAAGATGCATGGATCAGGCAAATCGCAAAGGCCTTTTTAAAAACTAACAGCTCTCGGGCAGGGGTAGGGGCAGGGGAGGGGGCTAGCAGCCCCCCGCCACGAAGTCGAAGTCCAGGAAGGCCGCCTGCTCCGCGGCTGTGAGGGGCCGCGCGTCACGGGGCGGGCTCAGTGTGGGGGCCTCCCCGGTGAACTCCTCGTCAAAGTTGCTGACGTCGGTGCGGCCAGACAGCGTGGGCACAAAAGGCGGCGGCAGGCGCCGGGCCAACAGGGCTTCCCAGCCCAGAGTCTGCAGGGGAGGGAAGCGGAGGGGAGGGTCAGCCTGGGAGGCTGAGGAGGGGGCGTGCTGCAGTGGGGACCAGTCCTAGGGCTTAGGGACCCCGGAGAGGAGCCATCATATAGGGAAAAGTGGGGTGGGGGTACTGGGGCTCAGGAGGGATCACCTGCAATAGCCTGGTGGAGACGCGGGATTAGGAAACAGTGGAGGCCAGGCGTGGTAGCTCACATCTGTAATCCCAGAACTTTGGGAGGCTGAGGTGGGAGGATCACTTGAGGCCAGGAGTTCAAGACCAGCCTGGCCAAAGTGGCAAAATCCCATCTCTACTAAAAATACAAAAATTAGCCAGCTGTGGTGGAGTGGTGTGTGCCTGTAATCCCAGCTACTCAGAAGGCTGAGGTAGGAGAATCGCATGAATCTGGGAGGCGGAGGTTGCAGTGGGCCGAGATTGAGCCACTGCATTCCAGCCTGGGCAACAGAGTGAGATCCTGGCTCAAAAAAAAAAAAAAAAAGAGGCGGAGGAAAGTGGAGATGTGGGATTAGGAGGGTCCCTGGGGGGAACAAAAGTGGAGGAGGGAAATCGGGGTGTCAAAGGAGGTGACGATGTTGCCCTGGAGGTGCAACGAGGCCTTCGAGGCAAAGCGGCTAGGCCTGGAGGGCGTCGGGTGTGGGGTGATGAATCGGCCCCGGGGGGAGGGCCGGGGTCACTGAGGTCCTTGTGGGGAACCTCACCCTGAAGAAAGGCTGTTTCTTCACATCTTCTGCATCTCTCTCGCTAGATCCCAGCCTCCGCTCTGGGTTCCTCCGCAGCAGCTTGGAGGAAGGAGCACTGTGTCAGGATCTGTCCCCTGCTGGGCCCCAGTGCCCCTCCCCAGGCCTGCCCCACGTCGGGGGTCCTCACCCTTCTCATGATGCCGATGGCTTCGGCGGACAGGAAGCGGGGGTAGCGGACCTCATCGTTGACGATGCTATCGAAGACCTCCTCCTCGTCATCCCCTGGGAATGGGGACTGGGGAGAGGGAGGCCCGGGGTGAATGGGGCCTCTCCTCTGGCTGCTCCAAACCCAGCCCGGCCTGCTGCAGCTCTTGGGTGCTGGCTAACTCGGGCAGGGAAATGTCCCATTTTATAGAGGTGGAAACTGAGGCCAGGGAGCCAGAGCAGCCCTCAATCACACAGCACTTGGTGGAGGCAGACTTGGATCCCACCCTAGGGCACACGCAGTTTCCAGTGAGATCCGAGACACACAGGGGTGGGGTCTCACCTCGCCAACCAGCATCTCGTAGAGCAGCACACCCAGCCCCCACCAGTCCACAGCCCGCGTGTATGAAGTGTCCGTCAGCACCTCAGGGGCCAGGAACTCCGGGGTCCCACAAAATGTGCTGGTCCGGTCCCCATAGCCCATCCCTGGGGACAGCAAGGCCATGTGAGGTTATGGGGGCCAGAGGAGTCACTCAGCCCAATGTGGGGTTGTCCACACAGCCAGCCCTGTCCCAGGGTCAGGGTGGGGGGTACCCCAAGTAGGGTTAGGGACCCCATTCCTTCCCGCTCCTTTGTCTAATCCCGAGGCCAGTCCCTCACCCTCCTTGCAGAGGCCAAAGTCTGTGATCTTGACGTAGCCCTCGGTGTCCAGAAGCAAATTGTCCAACTTCAGGTCCCTGTTGGGGGTTGGGGGGTGGAAAGAGGGATGAGCGGGAGTCTGGGCCCTGTCCCCACAACGGGCAGTGTGCACATGCATGCGTGCGCACACACACACCTGTAGACAATCTTGTGTTCATGAAGAAACTGTAGGCCCAGCACCACGCAGGCGGAATAAAAGCTGCAGAGAGAGAGAGGCTGCTGAGGGGTGGGGCCACCCTGCAAGCAGGGAGGGTCACATAAGCCTGGCTCCCACATCCTCAAAAGCCCCCCAGTCTCCCCAAAGCTCTGGGAGGCTGGGGGAAGCAAGCCCTGAGGGTGGAGGGGTGAGAAGCAGGCTGCCAGCCTCTGGGGGGACTGAAACGTCAGATGCTGTGGAGGGAGGCGGGGCCCGGGCTGGGGGGCCAGGCTCACACGGCACGGGGCTCAGAGAACACGTCGCTGTGGATGTGAAGCATCAGGTCCCCACCGGCCGAGTACTCCATCACGAAGCACACGTGCTCCGGTGTCTGGAAACAGCCAAAGAGGTTCACCAGGAAGGGGTGTCCCGCATTGGTCACTGCCGCCAAGATCCGCTTCTCACACATCAGGCTGGGGAGGGGTGGGGGACAGAAGTCAGAGACCATGGCCGCCGCTTACCCCTGACTCCCAGACGGCAAGCAAAGCCCATACAGAGGGAAGCAGAACTGAGAAATGTCATCTCAGCACCTGGATACAGCCATGCCTGAAGGCAGCACACTCCTGGACTTTTCTGATGCAGACCAATACATTTCTTTACTTGTTTCTGAGTTGGGTTCCTGATTATCAAAAGAATGCTGGGAAGACCAAGGACAATCTCAGTGCCTGTACCGAATGTTTAGAGGGGTTAGGTACTGTGTAGACAGCACCTGACAACCGTGTGTGTGGAAGGCAGCAGCACTCCGCTTCTCCACATCAAGAGGGGTTCTTTTTTTTTTTTTTGAGACAGAGTCAAGCTGGAGTGCAGTGGCGCGATCTTGGCTCACTGCAACCTCTGCCTCCTGGGTTCAAGTGATTCTCCTGCCTCAGCCTCCCAAATAGGTGGGACTACAGAGGCCCGCTACCACGCCCGGCTGATTTTTGTATTTTTAGTACAGATGGGGTTTCACCATGTTGGTCTCAATGTCCTGACCTCGGGTGATCCATGCATCTCGGCCTCTCAAAGTGCTGGGATTACAGGCGTAAGCCACAGTGCCTGGCAAAGAGGCTGAGGTTCTGAAGGGAGAAGTGACCTTCCCAGGATCTCCAAGCCCATGCTGCAGATGTGAGATTTGAACCCAGGATCCTGTCCCCAAAGCAGAGGCAGTATGTTTGCACCACAAAGGGCACAGGCTTCAGAACCTGAGTCTCTAGCTTTGAATCCTGGACCTGCTGCTTACTGGCTGTGTGACCTTGGGTAAATTGTTCAACCTCTCTGTGCCATCAGTATTTACCTTATAGGGCAACATGGAGGAACAAACAACTTTTATAAGAGCTATTATTATCTTGGTATTAGGCTGGTAGGTATTAGTGACTTTTTATTTGTTCTGAGATAGGGTCTCACTGTGTTGCCCAGGCTGGAGTGCAGCGGTGTGATCTCAGCTCACTGCAACCTTGACCTACTGGGCTCAGGTGATCCTCCTATCTCAGCCTCATGAGTAGCTGGGGCTACAAGCACATACCACCACACTCAGCTAATTATTTTGTATGTTTTGTAAAGATGGGGGTGTCGCCATGTTGCCCAGCCTGGTCTTGAAATTCTGAGCCCAAGTGATCCACCTGCCTCGGCCTCCCAGAGTGCTGGGGTTACAGGCGAGAGCCACCGTGCCTGGCATTAGTGACCACTATGAGTCACTCTCCCTGCAGCTCCAAGGAGAGAACTGCTCTGTCATTTCCCAAAAGAGAAGACAGAGGTCCCCAGAGGACCACAGTAGGTCCCCACCTCTCCACCTCGTCTCGGGCCACAATGTCCCCTTTCTTCAGAGCCTTGATGGCGAACAGCTCCCCACTGGGCCGGAATTCGGAGAGCAGCACCTGGAACCACAGTGAGCAGGGGTGGTTTTAGTGGCCAGCCAGGGACCTGGGGGGGGTCTCCCAATTCCCTGCCCTCCACCTCACCTTCCCAAAGTGACCCCGGCCCAGCACCGCCAGGAACTTGAAATCCTCAAGGGTCAGAGGTGACTTCCTCAGAGGGCTGTGGAGAGAGGCCACTGGTGAGGACAAGGACAGCAGGCAGGGGTGGGTGGTGGGCAGGGGGCCGGGGAGTGGTATCACCTGCACAGGGCGGGGCCTGGGGTCTCCTGGGTCTCCGAAGGCAGCTTGGGAGTGATGGAGGATTCCTGGATCGGGGAGCTCTGTGGCGGAGAAGAGGCCAGAGTAAGGGGAGTCAGAGATGCTCTCATAACCACAATAGCCTCTGAGGCCCTGCAAGATCTGCCCCCCACCTCTCTGTCCTCACCTCTCCTCCCATGCGGCCCCTCACTCTCTCTCCTCCAGCCACACGCCTGCACCACCACGCCTGGCTAATTTTTGTACTTTTAGTAGAGATGGGGTTTCACCATGTTGGCCAGGCTGGTCTGGAACTCTTGACCTCAGGTGATCCACCCACCACGGCCTCCCAAAGTGCTGGGATTACAGACGTGAGCCACCACGCCCAGCCCGAATTTTCTTTTTTGTTTTTTTTAGAGACAGAGTCTTGCTCTGTCGCCCAGGATGGAGTGCAGTGGCACAGTCATAGCTTAGTGCAGCCTTCAACTCTACCTTCACCTCCTGAAGGTAGGGGGTGGGACTAAAGGCTTGCACCACCACACCCAGCTAATTTTTTTTTTTTTTTGAGACTGAGTTTCATTCTTGTTACCCAGGCTGGAGTACAATGGCACGATCTCCGTTCACTGCAACCTCCGCCTCCCGGGTTCAAGTGATTCTCCTACCTCAGTCTCCCAAAGAGCTGAGATTACAAGCATGCACCACCAAGCCAGGCTAATTTTTTATATTTTTAGTAGAGATGGGGTTTCTCCATGTTGGTCAGGGTGGTCTCGAACTCCCGACCTCAGGTGATCTACCCGCCTCAGCCTCCAAAGTGCTGGGATTACAGAATTGTTCAGCTTCCCGAGTAGCTGGGACTACAAGTCCCATCATGCCTGGCTCGACAATGTCCGTTTTTAATTTATTTATTTATTTATTTATTTTTTAATTTTTTTTTTTTTTTTGAGACAGAGTCTCGCTTTGTCGCCCAGGCTGGAGTGCAGTGGCGCAATCTCGGCTCGCTGCAAGCTCCGCCGCCTGGGTTCACGCCATTCTCCTGCCTCAGCCTCCCGAGTAGCTGGGACTACAGGCGCCTGCCACCTCACCCGGCTAGTGTTTTTTTGTATTTCTTAGTAGAGACGGGGTTTCACCGTGTTAGCCAGGATGGTCTCGATCTCCCGACCTCGTGATCCACCCGTCTCGGCCTCCCAAAGTGCTGGGATTACAGGCTTGAGCCACCGCGCCTGGCCAGCTTTCACCTTTTTTTTTTTTTTTTTTTTTTTTAAAGAGATGCAGTGGCTGGACGCAGTGGCTCACACCTATAATCCCAGCACTTTGGGAGGCTGAGGCGGGCAGATCACCTGAGGTCAGGAGTTCAAGACTAGCCTGGTCAACAAGGTGAAACCCCGTCTCTATTAAAAATACAAAAATTAGCCGGGTGTGGTGGCGCACACTTGTAGTCCCAGCTACTTGCATGGCTGAGGCAGGAGAATTCCTTGAACCCAGGAGGTGGAGGCTGCAGTAAGCCCAGATCACACTACTGCACTCCAGCCTGGGCAACAGAGTGAGACTCCATCTCAAAAAAAAAAAAAGACGGAGTTTCACCATGTTGTTGAGGCTGGACTCCAACTCCTGGACTCAAGTCATCCTCCTGCCTCGGCCTCCCAAGTAGCTGGGACCACAGGTGAAGTGATTTTTACATTTTTAAATCGTTGGGGGAAAAAAAAAAGAGGAAGAACATTTCATTGCCCATGAAAGTTCTACGATGTTCAAACTTGCGTGTGAACTACCAATAAGGTTTTACCGGAATAGAGCCACGCTTATGGTGTACAAATAGTCTGTGGCTGCTTTCAAACTACAAAGCAGACAGGGACTGTCTAGCCCACAAAGCCAAAAATATTGACTCTCTGGCCCTTTCCGGAAAATGCATGCTGACCTCTGACCTAGATAAAGACGAGGAACATCTCCATCACCCGGCAGGTCCCCTTGTGGCTCCCAGCTTGCGGTAACCTCTGCCTAGAGCACAGCATTCTCTCGATCACTCTGTCATCGACATGAGTTTTAAATATGCTCGTTTTGCAAAGCGGTGCACTGAGGCACAGAGAGGTGAAGCGCAGAGCCAAGAGGTGGCAGGGCAGGGATGGGAACCCAGGCGGCCCAGCCCCCGAGCTCACAGTTTTATTTTTTTATTTTTATTTTTTGAGACGGAGTCTCGCTCTGTCACCCAGGTTGGAGCGCAGTTGGCATGATCTTGGCTCACTGCAACCTCCGCCTCTCAGGTTCAACTGCCCCAGTTGCCCGGGTAGCTGGGATTACAGGTGCCCACCACCGCACCCGGCTAATTCTTGTATTTTTAGTAGAGACGGGGTTTCATTGTGTTGGCCAGGTTGGTCTTGAACTCCTGGCCTCAGCCTCCCAAAGTGCTGGGATTACAGGTGTCAGCCACTGCGCCCGGCCTGTTTTATTTTTTGAGATAAGATTTCCCTATGTTGCCCAGGCTGCCATGCAGGGGCAGGATCATGGCTCACCGTGGCTCACTGTGTTGCCCAGGCTGGTCTCAAACTCCTGGGCTCCAGCAATCCTCCCATGTCAGCCTCCCAGAAGTGCTGAGATTATAGGCATGAGCCGTTTGTTAACCAGGATGGAGATCTGGGCGCAGGTTTTAACCAGCATAGAGATCTGGGCCCTGGTTCTGCCACAGACATGCTGCGGGGCTCCAGGCAAGTTCCTAGTGGCCTCTGAGCCTGGAGCAGGACCCCTGACGCTGCCCAGGCCAGGCCTAGCGGGGGAGAAGGAGGGACCCTCACCAGGCTCGATGGGCGGGAAGGAGGATCCCGCGAGCTCTTCTGAGGTGAGCCGTCCGAGTCAGTGCCAAGGTTCAGCTTCTCCACCGATATGTCACTGCCGCAGATGAGAGGAGGGTGTGTCTGGGGCCCAGGACCCTCTCAGGCTTCAAGGGGCGGCCGGGACCCCGGGGCCCTCCTTCCTTACCCCGTGGTCCGGGCCTCGGATCCTGGAGAAGCCCCAGGGCTGAAGGTGCCTGTGCCCGTGGCATTGGGGATGAGCCTCCGGAGCAGCCGCACCCACGTGGCGACGTCGATGTTCATCTGCCTAGCGCGCTGGAACGCCTTCCCTGGGGGGACGGGGGCAGGCATCACCCTCCATGACACTCCCAGGACCCCTGGCCTCTCCCCCAGGAGGCCTGGAGCACCCTCTCACCTTGCTGCTTGGAGAAAATTTTCTTCTGCCGTCGGAGCCGAGGAATCCTCTCAATGACAGGGTTGCGGAAGGTGACCTGGGGGAAGGGACCAAATGGTGAGGACCCCTGCCCACCTGCAGGCAGACAGCTTGGTAAGGAAGCCCCTAGGAGCACGGGTGTGCGCGCCCCAGTGGGGTTCTGGTCATGTGGCATCAGGTTCAACCCGAGTACCAGGTGACAATGAAGAGGCCATCAGTGCCACCCACGGCTCCCCTCCTGAAGGGACGTCCTGGAAAAGCAAGAAGCAGACAACCGGGTCCCCTTCTAGAGGTGGGGAGAGCATCTGATCCAACAAGACTGACAGACAGCGACCACAAACGGATGCCACACCATCCCACACCCTGATTCCCCACATGTGCTCCCAGACCCCAGACCTGCAGTAGCAGCAACACCTGGGAACTTGCTAGAAACGCAGGTTTCCAGGCCCCTCCTTTGACCTACTGAGCCAGAAACACGGAGTGGAGGAAGCGCGCTCTCTCTCTCTCTGTGTGTGTGTGTGTGTGTGTGTGTGTGTGTGATACATCTATACAGATAGATAGATAGATGATAGATAGATAGATAGATAGATAGGTAGATAGATAGATAAATTTTTTTCAGACAGGGTCTTGCTCCATTGCCCAGGCTGGAGTATAGTAGTGCAATCTCGGCTCACTGCAGCCTCCACCTCCCAGGCTCAAGCGATTCTCCCAC